TCCAGTCTATAGTCCTGAATATAGTCCAGTCTATAGTCCTGACTATGGTCCAGTCTGTAGTTCTGACTATAGTCCAGTCTATAGTAATAACTATAGTCCAGTCTATAGTCCTAACTATAGTCATGACTATAGTCCATTCTATAGTCCTGACTATAGTCTAGTCTATAGCCCTGACTATAGTCCAGTCTATAGCCCTGACTATAGTCCAGTCTTTAGCCCTGACTATAGTCCAGTCTATAGTCCTGACTAGTCCTTTCTATAGTCATGACTACAGTCCTGTGTATTGTCTACAGTCCAATCTATAGTCCTGTCTATAGTCTAGTCTATAATCCTGTCTATAGTCCAGTCTATAGTCCTGTCTATAGTACAGTCTATAGGCATGACTATAGTCCAGTCTATAGTATTGACTATAGTATAGTCTATAGTATTGCCTATGGTGTTGTCTGTAGTCTTGTCTATAGTCTTGACTGTAGTATAGTTATAGTCTTGACTACATTATAGTCTGACTATACTTTAGTCTAGTCTATAGTATTGACTATAGTCTAGTCCATAGTATTTACTATAGTCTAGTCTATAGCCTTGACTATAGTCTAGTCTATTGTATATAGTTTAGTCTATAATCTTGTCTATAGTCTAATCTATAGTCTTGACTTCAGCCAAGTCTATAGTCATGTCCATAGTCTTGACTATAGAATAGACTATAGTTAAGACTATAGACAAAAATATAGACAAGACTATAGTCAAGGCTATAGACTTTGTAAGATCACGTTAACTTTCCTTATGCAATTTCAGATCATATAATTACTACTCTATATTTCGGGATTCTACCTACAATAGTTTCCAACCAGGGACGATTGACTTGGATTCGATCAACATTAGATTAGGTTTAAAATAACGCCAATTTGTCAATGTTATAAGTTGATCATTGACACATTCCGTGACACAGAAAGTGGGAAAGTAGAATTTTGAGAAACTGAGAAACTAGGTCTCAAACTGCTTCTTTGATTGGATGTCCTTCTTCGACATCTGAAAGCATTTATTTTCAGGAACAAGGTTGAATTCTTGGGGGCTATTTGCTGTTTTCTTAATTATTCTCTATTCTTTACTTTCATTGAGTGGAATCACAATGGACCTTAGTGGTCTCCGAGTGGCACCTGTTTGGAGCATAACTCTCTTTAACTTAACCTTTTAAACTCTTTAAACAACCCCCTATTTTAAATAATTTGGGACTTTTGTTTTTTAAACAAAAACCACAACAAAGACTTTCAAACCTGTGAGCTGCAATTGATTCTCCGAAAAATAAAACTTTTAAGAAAACATTTAACCACAACAGACAATAACAACGTCAACACTTCAATGAAGATTATCTTAAGTGATCGCAATAACTAGATGATCATTCCGAAGTCAATAGACAAATTATTTTATGGTGATCTTTTTTTTCTCTTCTACACTTAAAATCATGATCGTTTTTAGGTTTTCAAGACATTGTGCTCATTGGCTGACTGACTGACTGTCTGAATGAATCAATGTTTATGTGCCAGTTTTATTTTGATGACTTGTACCCACGTTCACCCAATTTAAATGTAAGTTTATGAAGACCCAACAGAAAGTCAAAAAATTTACTGTAATACAAAGACGAACAATTAAAACCCTATTAGTTAAGGAAAAATTAAAAAAATATTTGCGTCTATTATTTAAAAATTGCAAAATATATAACTGGAAATGTTTTTAAATTGAAGAAAATAAATAAAATTTCATAGAAACTTTTAAAATTCTTGATATGTTTTATATATTATTCCAGTAATACAAAGACAAAAAAAAAATACATTAATAATTAATTTATATCTTCCATACCCAAGATACGGATTAAATATAAAACGATTTATTGTTAAACCTATTAATTTGCTTCCTGATTCAGAAAAATTTAAATCAAAGTTATTTGCTTTAAAAATAACTGTTTGTCCGTTATATCGGGCCCTCGAACACTAGACATTGAAAAGCAACATATGTTCTTTAATAAGCAACCAGATTTCATAGTATGTACTCTGGAATATTTAAAAATTCGATACTAACGGGTCTAATGTATGTATATGTTTTGAATTCGGTTATTATTCGTGAGTACAGCAGAAATAAGTAAGGATAGAACTTTGGTACGAGGCTTCTAGCCCCATTCTCTAAATAGTGATTGTATTGAACTATAATTGAAAACTTTAAAGAGTTTCAATACTTATGTATATTATTCATAGGGTATTACAAAATTCTCTCATATATACATTTTCGAATTCCATTTTAACTGTCAAAACAATATTAAATTATATAGATCGATATTTTAATATTTATTATTTAAATAAGTTTTAATTAAATGAATTTATGATTCTACAGTAAATGTACCTAAAACCCACAAGTTATATATTTGTATGGCATTGGTTTATCAAATCATGACAGAATAAATTGTACAATAGACACCAGACAGCAGTTAAAAAATAATTTAAAGTGTAACAAGAATATTATAACGACAAAGGGAGTCGTTCATAAATGGTGTTTGTACCTCTAGTCTTATCTGAACTATAAACTGGACGAGTTATTAGAATCCTCGAAGCCATATAATCTGGTATTTTGGGATTTGCTGGCTTGTGGGATTCGTCCCATACTAGCTATTGTCTGAGGTACTTCGTGGTTCTCATAGTGATTGTGGTTGAAATCTAAATCGCAGGTGCACGATAATATTAATAAGTTCGGTGCTGTTGCAGTACAACAGTATTCATCAGAGTAGTGATTGTGCAACTAAATATTGAATGAATCGGCGGTATTTGCAAATCACTTCACCCGCATAATCGGCTGTTTTTTTTTTCTAGAAATGTCTCGGATATTAGAATTGAAGGATGAGTTAAGTTGTGATGTATATACGGTATTACTATTCATGTGTTATCGATTATATTCCCTTCTTTGACATGTTATGTTCAGGGTTTACTCTGTTCAAATCAGATTTAAACATGTAAGTCCACATTTTTGTAGGAATACTACCGACGATTAATACTTGTTCTTCCTACAAAACAACTTGCTTCTTTGAACTTCACATTCAACTAATATATATATATTATAGGGGAGATATATTGAACCATCATTTTAAAACTTAAAATGCTTATAAGAGTTTAGATATTTCCAAATTAATTTGGTTCTAGATGTTTAGGAATCATCGTAAAATCAAGCATTCTTAATTTTTACTTTCTATTATCAGTGAGTCGGTCAAGCTAACAATAATTACCCCCAAGTATCTCCAATATCACCATTTCTAGGAATGCATATCCACTGCATAGCCCACTATCGGACCTATTGTGAGCTCATTTTCATGGATTGTTGGTAAAAACAAAAACCTTATTTAGTGATCAATGAAAGTATTATCGCCAGATGTTCAGAAACAAAGTTTCCTGGATGTGATTCCTAAGAATCAGCGATCAGTGTTCGTGAATAATATCGATCCCCGAAAAATATCACTCCCAAGATATTTCAATCTAATTTCGACAAAAGCCTGACAATGACAACACATGCTTTACTTTCATCTGAATCCGCACTTCCAATTATGTATAGATGTGCCTGTAGTCATCAGCATCCATCTGCTCTTGTTAGGGTCACCCCATAGGACCAAGCATTTTACCAATTTTCTCGCCTATATTTTAAATTCGGTCCTCGTTGCGTCAAATGGTTTTGCATTAGTGAAGTTAACTATCTCGAGTGCCCTTCCCTTTAAAGCAAGTAAATTCACTCTTTCGTTGCCGACTACTCTCGGGTGGCCTAGACCCATACGACACAAAACGTTATTGTGTGAGAGGATCTGGGCTTTTATGGAAGCAATGACCAATATTAGACCGATCATCATAAAATCCCGTAAGTTTACAAGAATAGGCAGATGGGACAATCGTTAAATCGTAGGTGATCATGACTTTATTGACGGCCTACCGCTTTTAAGCCGCAAACGCATGATTCGTGATAAACTCCACTAATTATCGCAACACAAGCGGTCAATTGAGGTTACCTCTAGACTAGCAAAGATCATATGACCATCATACGATTCACAAGCCCTACTTCAGTTTACGAGAACAGAAATCTACAGAACTTAATTGCAGTGGTGACTGGCCTCTGGCCTTTTGGGCTCTATGCTAGAAGACTGAACTTATCCAGCAATATATTCTGCATTAGCTGTCAAGACGAAGAGGAAGAATATATTATTACTCACTTCCTCGGTCAGTGCCCTGCGAAAAGGAAGAATATATTATTACTCACTTCCTCGGTAAGTGTCCTGCCCTAGCTGGGCAAAGATTAAATCTGCTAGGAGCCTATTTCCTGCAAGATTTAAAAGATCTACACGAGACTGAAAGATAGAATTCTTTATTCTTGTGACAAATGGTTTGCATAGGAATCCAGAGTAATTGGATCGAAGTATACTAATACGCTGATCGCTTTCTCTTTTACAGGTATCACAAAGGCAACGACGTCATGGGTCCAACATCGTCCCCAGCCCACATGGAACCTGCTATCCTAACATGAAAACTGTAAATAAGTGCTACAGATTTAAGTATAATGACGATTAAATTTTAGTTATTCTGGCTTATAACTATGTAGTTCCCTTACTATTATTATTAATTTCAGGAGAGAAAATAAATGTGTATGAATTAATCTCTGTCACTCTATAATATTAATAGATAAACAGAGTTTAATTCTGTTGGTGGTATTTAAACGGAGTGTGAATAAACAGCGAATTGTTGTTAACAAACACTAATACAATAATTACCGCGCGCAAATACTTACACAACCGACATGATGATCATGAACAACATCAACAGTTACGATGTAGCAGTCTACCACCAACAACTAAGATCTGTTGTCTGGGGGTTGTAAGTAAATGCAAAAAAAAAAAAAAAACTGTGTGCTGGTGATGGTGTGGAGACCCAACAGCTCATCAGCATCGTTTGCATTGTTTTACTGTATTGGCTTCCGTTGCAGAGATCACATCGCGATCGCATCAGCTTAAAACGCGCGCGCGTTGAAAATAAAATAAATTTTAAAACAAACAAATGAACCTTAAAAAACGTTTAAAGTTATAATTTTGAAAAAAAATAAACAATAAAAACATTAGAAAATCGTTAACAATCTTGTAAAAAAAAACAAATCAAATATTTATTTAAAGTGTGTTTAACTTTAACCAAAAGAAAAAATTATATAAAAAAACTATATTTGTTTGTAGGAAAAGGAAAACAAACTGTTTGTCAGTTTTTGCCAAATACTTAAAGAAAAACGTGCTGTCAAAGAATATTTTGCAATTCTAAAGAGTTAAAAAAAAAAACGTTTAAAGTTTTAGGTTCAAACTAAATAGTTTTTGTTCGTTTTAAATTCAATACAAATTTTAATGTTTTAAATTAAATATTGTCTTTTTTGTTGGTTGGTTGGTTGGTTTGTCACAAAACCAACTATTATTACAAATTGTTAGTTATTTTTTTGGGGTTTTTCAAATATTTTTGCGCAATTTTAACCAATTTCTGTTATTTTATCATCATTACAATAACAACAATAGCATCTACAACAACAATAACAATAATAATAAGTAAGAATGTTTATTTGAAATTTAAACAAATTGTGTCGTCTTTATTGTATCAAGTTAAGTTGGCAAATGAATTACAACAAATACAAAAATTATTGGTTGCAAACACGATAATTCATCTCAACTGATCTCAACTCAAGTTAACTTTGCTGCACTCACTCTACTCATGGATATATTGATAGAGTATCGATCGTTTTCTTACAAACTGATCGTTACATTTGTGGCGCTTTTCAAAGATCGAATTTATTCAAATGTAAACCAACAACAAAAGAGCCGTTCAAAAGATCTTACAAAAACCCCAAAGAAACCTCAAATAACAAAAAAAAAACAATCATTATTGTTAGAGAAGAAGAAGAAGAAGGTGCTTGATTTATTATTGTCTATAACTTGTCGTTGAAATTATTTTTACAAATTCTATTTAGTTTTTGTTTAAAGTTTTTTTATGTAGATTTACAACCAACATAAACAAATTAAACGTTTTTTTTTCTTCTTTCAAATTGAAAGATTTTTTTCTTAAAATTTTAAACATCATCACAACTGTGATCATCTGTTGGCGCTCAGTCCAAACAACCGATCATACAAATTGTTTATATAAAAACTTTATATGAGATCGTTTCAAAATTAACTTGTTGCTGTATTGTGGTATTAATTAAACAATTTTTTTTTTTTTTTTGTTTTACCATAAAAATTATATAGTTAGTAAAGTGCATTTAAAATTCCATCAAGTGTTAAACGTATACAAAAAAAAAAAAAAAAATACAAATAAATAAAAATAAAATAAGAAAAAAACCAAAAATGTCTGCTTCTGTAATAAAATTCATTTTAATGGCTTCTTTAACGGCTGGTGTTTATTGTTCGTCAACTGATCGTAATCCAAAAGTAAGTTTCATAAATAATAAAATATAAATAAATAAATATGAAAAAAATTAATTTATGCAACAAAATTTTAATACTAAAATGAAAAAGTCCTTGAAGAAAAGGATTTAGTAAATTTGTAAATATGTATGTAGACTAGTGTAATAAATGATAAATATTGATATATGAATGAATGAAATAATTTCATTTTTGGAATGAAAGTTATTAATTTTTATGGGAATTTAAGAAATAAAAAATGTTCAGAAAGTTTTCGAACAATAATCTGGATAAATTTAAATTAAGGTTAGGTTACGTTAGGTTGATCTACATCAAATCCGAAGAAATACACCGAGGGCACTATCGGGCCTGATTTACTCTACTTTTCATGGAAAATGTCTGTTACTAAAAACAAAAACTTTATATAAGTCACTGAATGTATTAACGTCCGATGTTCAGAAACTCAGTTTCTTGTTCGTAATTCCTAAGAATTTTCCAATCAGTGTTCGTGGGGGATGTTATATCCGGCATAATAGCACTCCCAAGATATTTAGATCTAATTTCGTCGAAATCCTGATAATAACTATGAAAGTACTCCAGAGTTTCAATGTCCTCATGCTCTACATTCGTCTGAATCCGCACGTTAAATTTTGTAAAGCTGTGCACGTAATCATGTGTGCCACTCAGAATACGTATGGTATACTAACTTCAGACTTGCTCATTTTGAGGAGACTTCACGTCCTGCTCTCGATAGGATCACACCTTAGGGTCTTTGTGGTTATACACACCGTTTCATTATTCCTAGAGGCCTTATGGGATTCTATCACCCTCTTTCGTTGCCGGCTACCCATATGATGTAAACTTTACCTCTAGGAGAGTATTCGGTAAGAGCTTTTTAACAATCCAATACGAGCTTAGATTTAACTTTATCATCTAATATCGCTCAATTGCCCTATGGCTGTGGGTAAATATGTTAAAAACCTGTGGGCGCCATATTTAGTCTAATACAATTTGCGCATTTCGTTATTAATCGTACTTCTGCCTGGAAGCTAGTGTTATGATTAGGTAAACGGTGGTATATTTCAGTTTCCATTTCTTCAATATAGAACACCAGGCTTACTTAGTCCACCAATTTACAGCCATCCGTGTAACAACGGATTCCTACGGGTATTCGATTTAATGTTCCACTTGACCAAGACATTCTATCTTTGATCAGTGTTTCAAAGTTTGCGACATATTCTGTGTCTGCTATGCGATCGGAGATGTCAGATTATTGTGCATAGCCTTTCAATGTGTCTAGTATACATTGATGACGTGTCCTATAACCGCTTTTGGACAGTTCGCCTAAACTTATTAGCCGTTCGGCTATAAGTGCAGCCTCATATCTTATATATGTTTCAATGGGTGGAATATCTAGCAACGTTTCCAGAGCCTTGGTTTACTTAGTATTCATCTGTCGCCATACCAGTTCTTGCCCAGGAAACATGGTTTACTATAATAAGAAATATTTGTCTTTCTTGTGAAAATACATATTTCCACCTTCGCCGGGTTAAGATTAAGGCCTCTCGGTTGAGCACAGCTCATGGCCGTATTCAGAGCTTCTTTAGTTCTTCCACACAAGTAACTTGAATTCCTTTTCTTTAGTATTACGACATTGTCTGCATTACAGACAGGTCAAAGTTCTTTCGCGTTTAGGGTCTTTAGGAGGCTATTAATCGTGGTGTACCGCGAAATACCCTTTTCCTGATAGTTATATCATACATCTCGCAGCTTATCTATCTGTTCTTTAGAATGTAGTTGATCCAGTTACGGAGCACCCGGTCAACAGAAAACGCATAAGAGTATCAGTATGCACGCTTTCGATGTCAATACATACAACCAGTGTATACAGTTTGCTATGGAAAAATTCACCTATATAGTGGACAACTTAGCTTAAAGTGATTTCCATCAGTCGTCCATTTACATTATATTTGAGTTTGGTCCATAATTGACATACTAAATCCTAATAGGACCTCTTCTGAAAATCACATTGATGTTCATATTAATATCGATACATGACAATGTTTTAAAGGTGGGCACAGTCGAATATTAACTCTTATGTTTTAAATGAGATCTAGAAGGTTATGTATTTTAATCTTTCTAGGTTATGTATTTTTCTTTCTATTGGTAAATTACCTTGTTCTGAATGTTCAAAGAGTTGAAAGTCGGGCAATCATAATCATTAGTTCACATGGAACAGTATGCGGTTTTAAAAGTTACTTACGCCTAATTGCAGAATTGAGAAATTACGAAATTCTAAAAGTTTTATTTATGAACTGGAATAAATTGGCTTGTTTTAATTTAAATATAGCCTAATAACAACTTTTTTACCATTTAAGGGGTTAAAATGCTAAAATTTACTTACACAATAGCATTTTAAGTCATTACTTTAACATGGTGATGTCATTGAAGGCAAGTACTTACTATAATCGCTTACAAGTAATTAGAACAAATAGACAATATAAATCTTATGAAAAAACGTATACAGTTGAATCTGAACCGATTTTAAGTTTCTCCACGGATTTAGAAAGCAGAAGCTGAGGCTGAATTTCATCAGCAAACATATTTTTTATTTTAGTTTTGCACCGTTGTCCAAGTTTGCAGATGATTTTTGAAAGTATTTAGTTAGTTAGTTAGTTAGTTAGTTTGAAAGGAGGATGTATATACATCAAATCCGAAGAAATACACCTAGGCCTCTATCGGGCCTGTTGTGCGCTCCTTAACCAGTGCCTTAGGTGGGAATCGAACACACCACCTCCGGTCTACCAGACTAGAACACTAACCTACCGGAGGCCACTTGAAAGTATTTAGTAATTGATAAGAAATATATGTCTATTCGTGAGAAAAACTCAACTTTGTTTTAAATATCCGTTAGCAATTGACGAAGTTATTGATCTTTCTCTTCATACAAAATTGTTCAAAAATTGATTTTGTGAAGGATGCTTTATATGGGGGATAGGGTTAAATATGGGCCGATACTCAAAAAAGTTATTTATGCTGAATTTCATCGTCATATTAATATTAAGAGAAGAATTATAGAACTCAAGTCATTTGTATGGGGTGAAATAAGTCCGTATTGTCTAAAGAACCTACAGTATCACTAAATATTACAGCTAACTTATTTATATCGATTTTTGTATTGTTTGGACCTTATTTGACCCTAGTCCCCATGCAAATCCTCCTTAAGCAAGCGACTTTAATTCCATAATTCTCTTAATTACATCAATATCACGATGAAATTCAGCATAAATAACTTATATATAAATCTAAATCCTTCCACCAAATTGTATGAGAATCGGCCCATATTTAGCCCTATATTAATTAACATGGGTTTCTAATCAGTTAATAAATAGTACGGTTCCTATATAAAAACTTTCAAAAAGCATCTCCAAACTTGGACAACGGTGCAAAACTAAAATAAAACATATGTTTGCTGATCAAATTCACACATATCTCTCCAGTTTGCTTAAACGTTATACATATATGTCATTATAAAGGCTTCAGCTTCTGCTTTCTAAGTCCGTGGAGAAACCTAAAATTGCTTCAGATTCAACTAAGTTACTGACTTATAAGTGCTTAATGGTACGAAAAACCGTTTTTTTACCTGTAACTTAAGATTTTGGAGGTGTTTGGAAAATTTCAAAAACATATTCTTGTTCTACTCGGATCCACCTTTCAGAAAAATAGTATCACTTCCCAGGTATTTTAATTTTCGCTTATTTTGTGTCACCGTGTTATTAATAAGACGAAATTAAAAAGTATGTTAAGAGGTAAGTGGTTACAATTGAAAGCCATTACCAAATTTCTGCTGGGATGTATCTCATTTCGGCTGTACCGAATCTTATATACCCCTCACCATAGTGTTAAATTTATGATTTTTTTTAAATTTTTCCAAAAAAATCGATTTTTTTTTCTTAAATGCTTTCTCAAATATTAACCGTTATGTCAATACCCACATTTGAAGTGATATATCTCGAGATCTATATATCGTATCGGCTTGTAATTTGGACTATGCTTTCAGAGTAAAGTTTTCTATACATTTTCCAAAAAAAGTTAGATATATATATTTTAAACCAATTTATGACCGATTTTCCTTTTTTACCTCGTGTATCAATACCCAACATACCCCGGTATGTATAAAAATTATATGTCAGTTATCGGACAAAAATTAAGTTTCATTACAAATTTTATGTTTTATTATTAGAATTATACATATATATTCTTGTATCTTATGAAAAAAAAAATTGAACTAAACAACAAATTTAGTTTTAAATACAGAGTCATGTGTCTTTATTCATAATTTTGAATGTGAAATATTTGTGGACCTTGTCACATTAACAAATATGCACCGATTTTGATGAAATATTTTTTTTTTATTGTATATGACTTAGTAAAGTAAAATTATGCTGATTATAATAATTTTATTCTCATATAAACAAAAATATTTAAGTTTAAATTTTAAAATTTTAATTTTTGACCATGACTTAGCAATCTTTTTTTGCAAAAAAGTTCTCTACTTACGAAAGCAAAAACTATTTCTTTAAAGCTTATATACACCTTAATAAATAATATATATGAAAAGTTTTGTTCAATTATCTTTCCCGGTCACTGAGTAATAGCTTCTTGAAGTCAAAATTTTACAAATTCAAATTCTGCATGTTTTTTGCATACGATATTTTTGTTAATAGGAAAGCAATAAGAAAACTCTACAAAAAATTGCTAAAATTTAATGGTTTATAATCAAAAACTATTTAATTTATATATACAGACGTTTTATTAAATTAGTTTTAATAATTATCTGAATTATACACTAGAAATGTATAAAAAGATGAAATAGCCATATAAATTGTATGACATACCCGGATATGTTGGGTATTGATGTACGTAATTTTGCTCGGGTATAGACAAGACGGTTAAACTTTGTTATTGTTATTTTCATTGGGTTAATTATAAACTACGTACTCGTGTCTATACTCGTATAAGCTTTCATCTGAGAAAAAAGGAAGTTTTTTGAAAAAAAAAATGAATTTAAAAAAAATTAAAATAAATTTTTTTGGAAACAATGAAGAAATAGTTATCTGAACTCCTTTGGACAATTTTTGTTAGGAGCAATAGGAGAAAAGTTACACTCATTCGAATAAAACCCTGTATGACCAAAATGTCCAACTTTGAACCACTCTAAATACGGCAGTTCTTGACCGATAGAGCTGAAAGTTTGTATCTGGCCTAGTATCCATTAGTAGCAACCATGCTGCGAAATTGCCCATACATATATTTAGCTATACCCTGTATGCTTTGCTACAATAAAATCAATATAAATAAAAAAACTATTCGTATATCAGTTTCCCAGATATGCGAGTGTTTGTATTTAGTCCATATATAAGGTGCCAAGACCCTATTGAAAGTCCGCTAATTTACTACCCAAATGTTCACATGGATGTCAGAATTCCTCGTGCAAAATTTGAGGATTCTAGCTGTAATAGTCTCCCAGTTATAAAAATTTTTTATTTAATTCATATGGGTGTTGCCAAGACCACAATATTCTTTTGACTATTTAAGGTCTTTGTGCAAAAATTTTAAGATTCTAACTCCAATAGTCTCTCAGATAAACGAATTTTAGTATTTAATTGATGGTTCGCCTATTTTTTGCCCTAAACATTCGGTACAACTATGAGGCTCTGAATAAGATCTTGAGCTAGACGGAAGCTGGGGGTAAGACGAAAATTTGTCTTTTCATAAGAAAGACATACCTGTGACCGGCAAAATTCAGTCCTTAGGTGTAATTCTTTGAACAGAAATTAAAAAGGATATACAATATAGAGAATAGTATCAACAAGGTACATCGGTGTTGGGCGCTCTGTAGGAGAACCATAGGCCGGTAATGGGGCATTAGTCCTACTATGACACATTGGCTTTGTACAAGTGTAATTAGACCAATTCTAACTTATGCTTCAATAATCTGGTAGACTTCTGAGGACATTAGAAGGAATACCCACAGGAATACTTTGCTACACTGATGGCTCTAAATTGGGGGACTAAGTTGTCCTAGGTTTCAATATTGAAAACCCAGAAACAGAAATAACGTTTAGCTAATCACAACACTAGGTTTAAGGCAGAAATCCGAGTAATAACGGAAAACGTAAATTGGATTGGAATAAATATGGTGCACATAGGGCTTACCGACATCCAGAAGGTAATTAGGGTGATATCAGGTGATGATGCTATATCTAAGACTATACTAAAGAAAGCTCTAAACGAATACTCTCCCAGAGGTAAGGTTTACATCATATGGGTATCAGGCCACTCGGGAGTAGTCGACAACGAAAAAGTGAATAGTTTTACAGGGAGGGGAGCTCGAGGTAGTTAAACTGACGAATGCAAAAGCATTTGAAACAACGAGGGAAACATTGAAAATATTGATGAGAGAATCCCATAAGGCCTCTAGGATTAATTACTCTAACGAGAGCAGGACGAGAAGCCTCCCAAAATGAGCAAGTCTGTGGTTAGTATGAGGGTACGTATTTTGAGGATTACGGGCACAGCTATACAAAATTGGTCATGCAGATTCAGATAAATATAGAGCATGTAGAGAGGACAGTGAAACTCTCGATCATGTATTTCGGTAACCTTGAACTTGCTCTCACGAAGGAGACTTCTCGTTCTCCTATCGTTTGGGTTACCAGATAATATTTTTGAGTGCCAACGATTTTGTAAAACCATAATGTGTTAAAAAATCTGTTAAAACACATAATATCCTCCATGGTATAGGGTATAAAATACAAGCATACAACTTTATATTATACATAAGTATTTAATATTATTTTAACACGCAATTTTTATAAAGATCACTTAAAGAACAATAGAACTTAAAACATTTTCAAAGCTTTTTTTAAACTATTTTATTTATATAAAATTAAGTTATTATTTATTTATATAGAAACAGTAATTCATTTTAATTTAATAGTATAATATTCAGGGTTATTTTGTTCTCACTTTCACTATATTTTAAAATAAATAATTACAATAATTGAGAGGACGTTAACAAATTAGTACCATAAGTTTCCGGTGCTGACTCAAATTTAAAAAAAAAAATTGCTTAACGTTTGCATTAACTATTATCTCTAAGAATATATTGGCAGGTGCCAAATTACTACTTACATGATGGAGTAAAATTGATCGTAATTTTCCATTTTGAGATGAAGAATATTTAATTTAGTACTTTTTAGCTTAATAGATCATTTCCATTTAACGATTTACTCGTTTTTCATATTAAATGTCATTGATCTTAATAGAATTTGTCAGATAGAAAATTAATTTCAAAATTATTTTCATAGAAAAGACAAATCTATCGAGAACAAGTATTACCACATGCTGGAGGACGAATACCAGATACGGCATTTGAGACTGATCGTCTATTTTTGAATCAACTTCAAAAAGATGGTATAGCTGTGCCAGATGGAATAGTGCCAGAACAACGTAATCCACAGGTATAATGACAAGTGTTTAAACTAGATCCTGGATAATAATGAAATTAAAATATTTAGGTCTATCCTTTCTTCAATCGACCTTCACGTAAAGTATTTCGCATTGCATTGAGTTCGGATGGCCGTTTCACACCGGAAGAAGGACGTTTTCATAATCAAGAACTGCCATCGGTTGAGACCACTTATTTATATCCCCAAATTCATGGCCATAGAGGTACACTAGAACCTCAAACCATAGAACTGCCAGTTTATAGTCCATTTAGAGTACACAATCCTCTATTGAATCAAGTTAAATTTCAGCCAAAAGATAAAGGTTTTTAATTCAAAATATTAAATAGAAAATAAATTGAATATTTTATCTTTTACTACAGCTCAATTTCGTAATGTTAACCCTGGTTTTAGTGGCAGCAAATCGATTGGCAATCCCAAATCCTATCAAAATGTTCAACTATTAAATACGCCCTTGTCGTCGACATTCACTTCAAAAACATCCTCGTATGGTAAACATTATTTACCCAATTACAGTACGACGAGTTCTTCACATGTAAGTTATTCATATTTCCTATAAATTTCTATTTACATTATTTATGTTTCTGTTGCAGTAATGATGCTCATGGATGTTAATTTTAATTTTAGTAAATTTATTCCTTTTTAGCTTTTCAATGAATTCGATGAATTATTTAACCAGTTTGAAATCTACGATGGTGAAATTAAGAAAACAAATGCATTTACAAATGATCATGTGACAGGAGCTGCAGCGTCAGCAGCAACTTATTAACATCGTTATTAGACAACATTTAGCCAACAACAAAAGCAACAACAGCAGTATTCATCAATCAATTTGTTAGAAACAAAATATTCAACAAATTTTCATTACTTTCGAAAATATCATTCATATTTCCTTCAGATTTATTTAAATAAATAGTTGTATTTAATAATAATAATAATGATTCAAGTGGCCAGATTGAAAGAAATATGTTTTCTTGATTTATTTAAAGTATTTTTGGTTAAGTTAATTAAACTGAGTTAAATTTCCAAGCATACGTTTAGAGACAATTGTTTTAATCAACTGACATTGAACTACACTGGCCAACAATTAGTTAAATCAGAGTTAAAAGCAAAATTTACTAAAGAACTAATCAGCGCCGAATCCAAGCCTGATCTCAAAATGTATCAACCACAGATATCAGATGTCATATATCGAAGAAATAAGCAGATATAGCAGTGGTTAAAGTGATTTTTTATAGCGTCTGAAATATGTTGTAGCGTCTGAAATATGAGCAAAAACTGAGATTTTTCAAACTTCATGACACGATATCTGGAAAACCTGAAGTATACCAAAAACCAAAGTATACTTTTGTATCTGGGTTTCGTCTTTTTTACATTTCGTTGGACTGTGTTATCTTTAACGCATCAAATGTTTTAACATTTTAAAGGAAATTCCTGATCACCACTCATAGACTTTACTTAAAATGTTTTCGAAATTTTGTTCTATAAAAAGTATTCAAAATCGGAACAAAGAATATATCAACGGCAGGGGTTTATAAAAATATATATAGTTCCTTTATATGAAATGGACGTATTACTTCTTTTACATGACGATGTCCTAAGAAGACGTAAATAAAAGTAGAATTGTCACATTTCGCTTTAAAGTCACTACTAACCTATTCTTTGGAAATATTTGTTAAAGATATAATTATCTATTAGCTTACCTAAGACATCAAATCAAAAGTCACCTGGCTTTATTTTTAGCATATTTGCGAACACAAATCTCTGTCACGAATGGAGGAATACATTTTGGCAATATCGACACAATATCGAGAGAGACTCTTCAAAGCATACCATAGGGTCTAAGCAGATCCATTAACTTTCTGATGTTTAATTAATAAGAATTACGATTAATGCATCAATTTTGCTTTAATTTTCTGAAAGAAGCTTTACATCGGGGAGGGGGGAAAATATGGACCGATACTCATAAAATTTGGTGGATGGATTGCCGTTTATTAGTTTTAATAGGCTTCGTCTCAATAGAAGATCATTTACCAAATTTCTATGAATTGTCTTCAAAATTGCGACCTGTAGTTTGATTACAAATCTTGCATAGACCGCCTACATCGACTTCTGATTGGTATACTTTAAGGTGAGTATAAGACCAATATTATTCTACGTTACAAACATCAGCACAAACCCTTCCCACTAAAGTAGTGTAGGGTACAAATATTAACGTTATTGAATAGCCAACACTGGTAGGTAGGTACTTAATTAACACTCCCGATTTGTCTATGAGAGACAACTTAACAATTTTCACAGTTGCAGATGTGGACTCAAACACTATGTCGCGAAACTTTAAAAATCAGAGTCCTGGAGACGTGGTAAAAAAATACGAAGCTGTTCCCTAGTGACACTAAATAATGTGAATATTCCCCAGTCGGATAATGACACATACCTTAGCATTCATTTGGATAGACGACTAACTTGGCATCACCACAGCAAAGCTAAGAGACTTCATATAAGACTGAAATCTTCTAGTCTCTACTGGCTAATCAACTATCAATCGAAGTCATCCAGCAAAATCAACCTGTATACATATATATGTTTTAAAACCAATTTAAATGTATGGGATTCAACTATGTGGGTCCAATTCCAAATTCTCAGAACCATGAGTGGAGCACTGCCTTTAGTAAAAGAAAAATTTAGAAAAATCTTGTGAAAGTATTTGTCGAAACTTCGAGTTCATCCTAATTCGCTTACAATACCTCAGAGTTGAGCAAAAGAATGTTGAAGATTTCCAAGCATAGGCTGGGACTTAGCCTGAAGCGCTGAAGTTAGCGTAATCTTTTTAATAAGGTATTTGCTTTGGTCCAGTTCCTTTTAGGCGTTTCGAAGTTCTTGAACTAATGATCTAAATGACATACAAAATCAATGCCTAGATATTTGCACTGAGTGGTTTATGTCGAGAGACGAGTTGTTCATCCGTCTGTCTACTGATTAGCATAGTCTCTAATGATGAGGTTTGTTTGGTATTGCAAATAACCTATATCGAGCCATGATTTCAGGACCGTTAAGGTTTTATGAGTATCGGTGTATAATTTATCTTAATCCCCTCCCCTTCTATATCAGCCTTTTTAAAGAAAATCTGTTCATTGCCAAATTGACCCAATCCCTCATTAAAGGCCCTGCTTACGGGTCATGTTCCCGTTAAGTTTTGAGACTAAACATTAGATGGCTTCGCATTAACTTGTAGTCGATTTCTCTTAAACCCAACCGATTACTTTAAAATTTGAGGGGTATGTAGATCTTTACATGGAGAGTCCATATAACCAATTAAAGGCCTGCAAAGCGGAGCGGGCACTACTAATATCTAAAAAATAACTAAATCTTTGTTACAAATAACAAAGGCTACCTTCTGACTTAAATTTTACGGAATGTGATTAAGGTTATATAAGATTTGGCTGAATATGAACAAATACTGTGTGAACTCAAATACTTTTCTAAACATAAAATATCTCAACAATCTGGTCACCTTAATTTCAAATCCCATAACTTTACATCAAATACAAAACCTACTTGTTTGTCATGCATATTTAGCATTTAAGTTCATTCATAACCATACAATACACATTTTCCCGTTTAAATACTTTTATCATTTGTTTTAATTTAAAAATCTTATTAAATTAAATAAACAAATAATAAGCAATTTTGTATTAAATAAATTAAATTAAAAAAAAACGTTAAAAGTTTAATTTAAATAACAGGCTTAAAAAGTCAAACAGAAATCAGAGGGGACTCTACGAGTAAATACAAATCAATTTTCTTAAGCAAACAAATTGTTCAACAACAAATCACGTAATTTTAACTGTTGAATGAATGTTTTATTATTACAACAATATATACATTACATTACATTACACTACACTATAATACATTAAATTACATTACATACAATTTGATTTGGTTTACAGTCAAAATAATAATAAAAAGTAAGAAAAGAAGTAGTAATAATAGTGATAATAACAATAATAATAATGTTAAGTTAAAATTATTAAAAAATTCAATGAAAGTAAAAGTACAACAAAAAGTAACAAAATTTTAAATTGTTGTAGTACATATTGTGTATGTGTAGTACTTAGATGCAATATCATACTCCTCGTATCTGTGCCAATAAGAAGGCTGGGCAAATGTGAAGTGTAAGAAAAGATAAGTGAAAGAATGTATTCAATGTTTTCAATTAGAACTCAGATTAATTTAAAATTGGATTGAATGTTTTTATAGAAATTATAGAAATTTGCAGCAAATTATTTTTAGTTTATTAGATGTTTTGACCCTTACTGTTACACATTTCACACAAATATTAAAATTTGTATTCCTGTAACGTTGAAACTTTAAACGAGAAAGAAATTTGCACTTTTTTATTAAAATCAATTTATCTATTTTTTATACAAGAAAAATTACAGTGAGACTCATTTAATTAAAACATGTTTTGCATAAATTTGACTCTAAAGTTGTATATCAAATATTTAAAGAGGTGAGTTTCAAAAATAAACCATCATAGAGGTTTCTTATAACCCCTACAGCTGCTAAAAGTAAATTGAAGAACTAAACTAACACAATTCGGTGCTTCTAAGGGCGGGTTTCTTGCTACTCAGTTAAACTAGGCTTAACTTGCTGTTAGATTAAACTCGGAACAAATTTAGGCGGACTTTAACCGATGATTGTGTTTTTCAGTTATGGATTTAAGAGCAGTTAACTTTTTTAGTATTGCCAACATTTCAGTCAAAAACATAAACAATGAACAGCTGATTTGGCAAATATTACGTTTGTAAAATTAAAAAATTTTAGAAAAAAAATTTAAATAAATATTTAAAACGATAATAATAATATTGATAAAACAAATCAAAAAGTTACTATTTATATAAAATATTAAGTTTTTGTTGTTCCGAATTGGTTATTTTATTGTTTTTGTTGATTGTGTTTTCTCACTTATAACTTAGGTTTAATTGGCCAACAACGCTTAGTTAAACTAAGATAATAGTTAGCTAGTTAGTTAGTTAGTTAGTTAGTTAGTTAGTTAGTTAGTTAGTTAGTTAGTTAGTTAGTTAGTTAGTTAGTTAGTTAGTTAGTTAGTTAGTTAGTTAGTTAGTTAGTTAGTTAGTAGTTAGTTAGTTAGTTAGTTAGTTAGTTAGTTAGTTAGTTAGTTAGTTAGTTAGTTAGTTAGTAGTTAGTTAGTTAGTTAGTTAGTTAGTTAGTTAGTTAGTTAGTTAGTTAGTTAGTTAGTTAGTTGTTAGTTTAGTTCGTTATTAGTTTAGTTAGTTAGTTAGTTCGTTGTTAGTTTTTAGTTAGTTAGTTTCGTTAGTTTCGTTCGTTCGTTCGTTCGTTGTTCGTATCGTTAGTTCGTTCGTTCGTTCGTTCGTTCGTTGTTCGTTCGTTCGTTGTTCGTTCGTTGTTTCGTTCGTTGTTCGTTCGTTGTTCGTTCGTTAGTCGTTCGTTCGTTCGTTGTTGTTCGTTCGTTAGTCGTTAGTTGTTGTTCGTTAGTTCGTTCGTTCGTTAGTTCTGTTCGTTCGTTGTTCGTTAGTTCGTTCGTTAGTTAGTTCGTTGTTCGTTCGTTCTTCGGTTGTTGTTCGTTAGTTCGTTCGTTCGTTGGTTCGTTCGTTGTTGTTAGTTTCGTTAGTTCGTTCGTTAGTTAGTTAGTTAGTCGTTGTAGTTCGTTAGTTAGTTCGTTTGTCGTGCGCTTGTGCGCTCCTTAACCAGTGCCTCAGGTGGGAATCGAACCCACCA